TGTGTGTGTGTGTGTGTGTGTATGGTAATTTCACATAGCCCATGTGATTCAGCTTCTCTGATATACAAGGATGTTCTGTTCTGTGCAGAATATTTGGAAATGTAATAAAAAATAGTCATGCTATAGAGAGTTGCACTAATAGCACCATCTCTGACACAACTCTGTACCTGATAATACCCATGTGGATTTGTTAGTTGATTCATAAGAACTTTTTTTTAAAAAAGACAGTATATAAAAAACTTAAGAGAATGCACTTAAGAGCTACCTGTACTTTCAGTTGAAGATAAAATTTATACTATATAAATGGTGTTTTCCACTGATTCATCTGCAGTAAACTATTTACAAGTATCATCTTTAGGCACTATCCAATATGTGGCCTTTCTTTCTAGGTGACAAAGTCATTCCATTCTTTGCACCTCAATGTAAAAAATGCAAGTTCTGTCTGAGTCCTCTCACAAATCTTTGTGGAAAACTCAGGTAAGCTTTATACACTGGTAATGAGAGTACACATTGGCATGAATATTTGGGGCAACACATTGACAACACCCAAATGGAGCTGAAGAGAAGCAATCCTGCCCCCTAATTCCACTTATAGGTATAAACAAGACACTATTCCAAATGCATACTAAGAGACATATGCTAGAATGTTCCTTGCAACATTGTTTATAATAGCAATCAACTGAAAGCAGCATGAATGTCCATCAATAAGGTAGTAACACAATGGAATATAATATAAAAGTGAAAATGGCAATGGCTGGAGAATCTAAATCTTACTCTGTATTTTACTGAGACTATAGGATTCATTTTTCCTTAATGATGATTGAAACTGGTTATTTAAGAAGTTAAAATGATACCACTCTAAAGATGTTTTATTGTGCCTTGATTATCTTACCTATAAAATAGGGATGATAATATCAGATGCTTTGTAAAATTGTGAAATATATTCAAAGAATTATACTATTTTGCAAAGTTTCGATGAAATAAAGGATTTAGACAATGATCATAAATTATAATATCACAAAAAGAGATGATCAGAAATTATGTCCCTCCAGATGAAATGCATTATACCACCTTTGAAGTATTTCCACAAAACTATAAAACCTGAATCCCATCAAGCATTTATATTTTTTAAATGCTTATTTAGAAAGAAAAACAAAAACAGAGAAAGATGTTAAACCAGATTTCATGAATGTGATTGGCAAAATCCACTAAGAGGAAATTTCTATAGAACAAATGACTCAGTTACAACAAACAAATTGCAAAAAAAAAAAAAGAAAAAGAAAAAAAGAGGAGAGGAAAGAATCTACAAATTAAAAGAGATTCAAGATACATGTCAACCAAATGCAATATGTGGACCTAAAAGAATCTGAGAAAAACCAGGAGACATGGCCCATGCCAGTAATTCCAGTAGCTGAGGCAGGAGGATCACAAGTTCAAGGGCAGCCCCAACAACTTAGCAAGACCTTGACTCAAAATTTTAAAAAATAAAAAGAGTTGAGTATGGGGCTCAACAGTAAGACATCCCTGGATTCAATCCCCAGTACCACCCACACACACAAAAAGAAAAAAATCTCACAAAGAAAGAAAAAAAAAGAATCTTTTAGAGATACATACTGAAATATTTCTATATAGATGAAAATGGTGATGTCTGAGATTTGCTTCAAAATAGTCCAAGGCAGGGAGAGAGATACAGATTGTGGAGGAGTAATAGATGAGAATGGATTGCCCTTTGAGTTGATAGTCACTGAAGTTGGAAGATGGGTACATGGGAGTTCAGTATGCTATTCTACTTTCGTATCTATTTGAATTTTCTGTAATAAAAAAATGTATGAGCTAGTATACATACAGCCCTTGCATTTAATGAAAGTTTGTTCTTACCTTTAAAATACTTCTAACAGACTATATGTTAATGTGAAAAGTGACAAGTTATTTTCTCAATTTTTCCATCTTAACTCCATAAAATTGCCATTAACAAATAAAAACACCCAACATTTTTTGTTGGGAAATGGTCCGTCCCATTTACTTTCTCCTTCTCTCTCCCTCTCTCTCTCTCTCTCTCTCTCTCAGGAATTTTGAAACTCCTATTATTGATCAAGAACTAATGGAAGACAAAACCAGCAGGTTTACCTGCAAAGGAAAATCAATTTACCACTTCATAGGAGTCAGTTCATTCTCTCAGTACACGGTGGTGTCAGACGTCAATCTTGCCAAAATAGATGACGATGCAAACTTAGAGAGAGTTTGTCTGATTGGATGTGGATTTTCATCTGGCTATGGGGCTGCAATCAACACTGCCAAGGTAAATTGTTAAACACAGATTGTGTAAAACAGATGTTACAATATGATAGGAAGGACATAGAATTAATTATCTTCAAATGCTGGCTATGTCATTTATTACCTGTGACTTTAAGCAAGTTATTTAATTCCCAAGGATAATATCTACTACAAATACTTATATAGATAATTAAATTATATTACATATGTACAACATCTGGTCTAATAGCCAGCATATAGTTGGCACCTACTACGTGTTACATATAATATCAGAATATTTGATGAAAGACTAGCCCTGATTTAAATACATCCTGTTTAAATATGTTTCATAAATATAAATGCTCATCCTGGGACACTTGACCCAAAGGGCAACAGAAACTATAGAAACCCTCAACCACCTTCCTCCAGCCACCTCTACCTTCTCCCTGATGCTGTAGATTTTTCTCTGTCAATCAAGAATAACTTATCTCTGCCTCTCATCCTATCCCTTCATGGCTTCAAAAGAGTGTCTCTGGTAGCAGTCCTGAGGGTGGCAAGATGTGTCCCTGGAATCACATGTTAGAATTTTAAAATTTTACAAGGCTATTTAAACTACAGACCAGAGAGACTTCAAGCAAGGCCTCCTTATTTTAACCTCCCTCATGTCAGTCTTCACCCCTTAACTCAAAACTGCAAAATGCAGCCAATGTGGTCTTTCTAAACAACAAACAAATCTGTTTTCCTTCCTCTTGCATTGTTTCTTTTCTCCCTAAATAAATCCCTCAGTGGGCTACAGTGACTCTTTTTCGCCCTTTGCACTCTTCACAATTCCCAGGGCCCCACGCTGAGTCCTCAGGTTTTACTCACTGAGGTCTCTGGGCCTTTCCACCTGGGTTGCACCAGTATAGCAGAGTAGACTCCCCAATCTCCCTCAGGCTGTCTCCCTTTAGATATCAGTTCTTCTTAAGAGCTATTAACTCTGCAGATTTCTCTTAATTATTTACTTTATTAAATTATTTTATTTAATAAAAATCATATTTGTGACAAAATGTAATGTCCTAATATATTCATACATAGTGATATGATTAAATCAAGCTAACTAACATATCCATCACATGATTTGCTTTTTTCTTGTGGTGAAAATTAAAATGTGCTCTCTTAACAATTTTCAAACATACATTATTATTTATCAATACCATGTCCTACAATTTATTTCTCCTAACCAAATATTGTGTTCTTTGACCAACATCTCCCCAGTTCCTCATCCCTCCTCCTCCCGGGCTCTGGTAAACCACCATTCTGCTCTCCACTTTTAGGAGGTCAATTGTTTTAGATTCCATCTCTAGTAAGATTGTGTGTTACTTGTCTTTCTGTACTGACTTCTTTTGCATAGCATAGTGTCCTCCAGGTTCATCCATGTTGTCACAAAGGACAGGATTGCCTTCTTAAGACTGAATAGTATTCCATTGTGTATATAGACCACATTTTCTTTATTCATTCATTTGTTCATGGGCACTTAGCTGGATTCCATAACCTGTCTATTGTGAGTAACACAGCAATGGATATAGGAGTGCAGCTACCTCTTCAATATACTAATTTCATTTCCTTTATATATATTCAGAGGTAGTTTTACTAGATCGTATGGTAGTTCTATTCTTTAATTTTTTGAGGAATCTCCATTCTGTTTTCTATAATGGATATACTAACTTACATTTCCACCAACACTGTGCAAGGTGTTTTTTTTCTCCACATTTATGCCAACATTTGTTATCTTTTGTCTTTTTTTAAATTTATTTATTTATTTTAGTTGTTGATGGGCCTTTATTTTTTATTTATATGTGGTGCTGAGAATGGAACCCAGTGCCTCACACATGCAATGCAAGCACTCTACTGCTGAGCCACAACCCCATCCCTCTTTTGTCTTTTTGATAAGAACAATATTAACAGATGCAAGAAAATAGCACATTGTGGCTTTTTGCATTTTTCTGATAGAGGTTTCAAGCTAATTTTTAACATACCTATATGTCTTCTTTTGGCATATATGTTTCTCTTTTGAGAATTATCTCTGTCCTTTACCTGTTTTTTTAATTGGGTTTCTTGTTTTCTTACTAGTAAATTGTTTGAGTTCCTTATAAATTTTTGGGATTAACACCTAATCAGATGTATGACTTGCAGAAATACTCTCCCATTTCATAGCTTGTCTCTTCACTCTGTTGGTTGTATCTGTGGATGCACAGAAGTATTTAAGTTTGATGTGATCTCAGTTGTCTTATTTCCTGTACTTTTTAGTTACACGCAAGAAATCATTGCCTCGACCACTGACATGAAGATTTTTCCCTATATTTTTTTTTCTCGTAGTGTTACATTTTCAGGTCTTAACGTTTTAATCTTTAATTCATTTTGAATTGATGTTTGTATATGGTATAAAATAAGGATCTACTCTCATTTTCTATATATGGATATAAGTTTTCCCAGCACCATTTATTAAATAGACTGTCATTTCCTCATTGCATAAATTAAAGCAAGTGATATTTGTCCTCTCGGTTACTTATTTTGTTTCCAACTTAAAAGGTGTTAAAAATTTCTCTAGGACATATTTTCTCTTTCTCTCTCTCTCTCTCTCTTCTTTTTTTGGAAGAGGGGGGGGCTATGATTTAATCCTAACAGCTTGCCATCCTCTTTGGGAAATATTAATTAAGCATCTCTCTATATTCTATACTAGTAAGTAGAATAAATATACCAGTTATAGCATCTTTTCTTACCATTTTGTGTATTGCTCATTTAATTCAATGTAACAAGCATTTATTCAAGACTCAACACAGAGAAGACACTCTTAGAAAATAATGGAGAAGATTAAAAAGTCTCTGCCTTTTAAAAAAAACTTAGTCTTTAAAGAAACACATATACACATAATTATTCATGACATATTCAATATACGTTTTTTTGTGAAAGGAAAAGCAATAGGATAGGCACTATTTCTAGATGAAGAATTAAGAAAATTTTCATGAAGAAATATGCTTATATCAGAAATAGAAGTACAGGTTAAGTTTTTGTTGTTGTTGTTGTTGTTGTTTTGGTATGTGTGTGTGATGCTGGGGATTGAACCCAGGGCCTTGTGCATGTGAGGAAAGCACTCTACTAACTGAGCTATATCCCCGGCCTAGGAATAGGTTTTAATTAGAGGAAATTAAGATCAAAAGTACATCAGGCTGAAGGAACAGCAGAAAATAAGGCAAGAGGAGAGGAAAGTGCAATGATTTGTTGTGGGTGTTGTAATGGGAATATCATGGAGATGGAACTGGAATGTAAACAGAGGTCAGAGAGCAAAGATCCTTCAATGCCATGCAAAGATATTTGGACTTCAATTCCATTTAAATGAATTAACAACTTAGAATGATCAAGTGAGTCAATTCACATTTTAAAAAGTATTAGTGATCCTTGAAAACTATAGTGTTAATAAAGCTAAATTAGATTTATTAGAAATATAGATGTCAAATGACCTGTAATCCAATTTAAGAAGAAAAAAATAAAACAGTTTAGAATGTCTGGGGTTTTGAATTTTGTTCTGACAATATTAAAGGAAAAGTAAAACAAGGGAATTATTTCCACTTGGGTTAGTCTCTTATGCACTGATAACCTTAATAGATTTTAAATAATTCTCCAAATTTAAGTAGAAATGCATTATTTTCACATTGCCATTTTTTTTTCCGTTGGCAACATATATACCTTACAACAGGCAGTCTTTTATTCATATGTCTGAATATTCATCTCACCCTCTCCTTCAAAAGAAAAAAATATAGGACAACTGCTTTATTTATATTATTATTATTATTATTATTATTATTATTATTATTATTATTATTATTATTTACTGGGGATTAAACCAGGAGTGCTTTACCGCTTAGCTACATCCCCAGCCATTCTAATTTTTTGAGATGGGGTCTCACTAAGTTACTAAGGGTCTTGCTAAGTTGCTGGGGCTTGCCTCATACTTGGATCCTCCTGCCTCAGCTATCCAAGTCACTGGGATTACAGGCATCACACGTTGCAGGACTAGCTTCTTTAACAGTGTCTCTACCTACAGGTCACACCTGGTTCTACTTGTGCTGTTTTTGGCCTAGGAGGTGTAGGTCTTTCTGCTGTAATTGGTTGTAAAATAGCAGGAGCTTCCAGAATCATAGCTATCGACATCAATAGTGAAAAGTTTGCAAAGGCCAAAGCCCTAGGAGCCACTGACTGCCTCAATCCTAGAGACCTGGATAAACCCGTTCAGGAGGTCATCACTGAATTGACCAATGGTGGTGTGGATTTTGCCATTGATTGTGCAGGAGGATCTCAAACTATGGTATGTATATTTTTTTCCTCAGATATATTCAAATTTATAGACACTGAAATTCTTCATATATTGCCTGTATGTTCTGGTTTGTTGAGAGCCACAGCCAAAGGGGCCCCAGAAAACTTCCAGCTGCCAGCAAACTTCCAGCTGCCGGCTGATGATTGGCTCACAGTGGCCCCAGAAACATCTAGCTGATTGGCTCCTCTGTGGTAATGCTCATTGGGCTGTTTCCCTGCCCTTTCAGACCACAAAGCTGCTCATTGGGGGACTTTTTTGGCTCCGTCCACACGACCCAGCCAATCAGCCTCAAGAGCAGGAGGATTGTGGGAGGTGGTGAGGCTTGTGGTTGAGGGAGAGGCTTGTGAGAAGCTGGTGGGGGCAGTTGGGCTCTGAGGGGTTTTCCTGAGGAGCTGTTTTGTTTGGCGTGTGTAGTTCTAAAAATAAAGTTTGTTTCTTTTGACAAGTGGCTCCTGAATTGTGCCCAGCCAGACTGCGGCACTGGTTGGCTGTTTACCTCATTTTATTTGACTTAATAGTCAAAGAAGGTATTTTTCTTTTCTTTTTTTTTTTTTTTCCTTTTTTGGCAGTACTGGTGATTGAATCCAGGGGCTCTCTACCACTCGGCACTCGGCTACATATCCAGCCCCTCTTAAAATCTTTTTATTTTGGAACAAGCTCTTATTCGTTTCCCAGGCTAGCCTTGAACCAGAGATCCTCTTGCCTCAGCCTTCCAAGTCACTGGGATTACAGGCATGTGCCACTGTGGCTGGCTGGCTGGGGTAAGGGGCATTTCTTTAGCTAATTAAAAATTAAGAAACCCCCCAAATTATCTTTTAGAAATAAAAAAACTAGAATGAGAATGAAATTGGGAAATATTACTTCTAGCCTAATATGTTGAGCATTTAAAAGGAAACTCAAAAGAAAAATCAACATCTACAAATAATCAACAAATAATGCTATCGTGGCTGCTTATCACAAGAGAAAAGTGAACTCACAAAGACAGACAGTATTGGCATTTGGGAAGTGCTGTGATTTGAATGGGCTGCTCAAGGTTCAAGTGTTGAGAGTTTGGTCCTCTGTGTGAACATGAATTTGATCTTAATGATCTCTAATCCTCTAGTTTAGCCTACAGAACCCAAGAGAACAATTACAAAGTTATAACAGTTTACAGTTCAAGAAAGTTTTGCCAATTCAACCAAAAATAGCTCTTACCAAAAGATATCACTGTCTACCAAATGAAACCCCTGTATTTGCATATAGTGCCATTTCAACCAAGTCATCATTATAGAGGATAATTCCTTGTTTGGAGCAATGTTCCAAAATGTAGGAAAGGAAATAGGAAAAGCATTAAAAACAAAAACAAAACAAGAGTCAACTTGTAAAGAGTAAACAATTACTTTAAGGTGATAAGTAGTGCCTGTGGTCTTTTCCTCTCTCCATGCGTCTTTTGATACAGTATATGTAAACAAAAATGTTTCTGCCATACAATAAATGCAGAGAGTAGAAGTATTAATCTTTAGAAGTGTTTACAATTATCAAAACAATAAATAAACACATATTCAAATAAAAAAATTCAAAACACTTCCCAAAAGCTCTACATCATTGCATCTTCCATCACTGGTATGAGAGGAAGAAGGGAGAGAGAGATTGATTGCTTCTTTCATACAGTGATCAGTGATGTGAAGGAGCCTATTACAACATCTATAAAAGTAAAAATTGACCCAAAAGGTCAGAATCAAGTTGACCACAAGCCATGTGGTACAAAGTTTACACTTTTCTTCTATAGGATCAGTCTCAAAAGATTAAAATTGTGTATCTATTTACCTTAGGATTTCTATATGGAATGGTCATTCATAAGTACATATTCCTTTGAAGCTTATTTACATGTTCAGTTTTGGGCATTTTAATATTAACTGCAAATTTGCAGTAGGTTAACATAATAATGTTCTCTCTTTCCCTCATGCAAAGATCAATGTATGTCCAAGCAACTCTCCTGAGCTGAGCTACCATCTTCCATGTGATAACTCAGCAATCAAGGAAATGTGAACTCCTGGCTTCAGTCTCAACTTGAGGCCATCTTGGTTATTAGAACAAGAGAAAAGATGGTTGGCAGGATGAAATCTACCTGTGAGAGGGCTTAAAAAATGTGGGAAAGCAGATGAAATGTTTAATGAACAGAACAGTGTTATTTTCTATTAAGACTTTTGCCCTATGTTTTAAATAGCATTTTTTATTTATCCTATCCTTTTTGTTTGTTTTTTAAGTTGCAGATGGATAGAATACCTTTATTTTATTTATTTATTTTATGTGGTGCTGAGGATCAACCCCAGTGCCTCCCACATGCTAGGCAAGCCATCTACCACTGAGCCACAACTGAAGCCCCTATTTATCCTATCTTTAGATCTTCTGTACTCCTCATTTCTTAGGCTCCAGGAAATAACTGACTTTTCATGACTTTTAAAGATTTTGAGCCCAGGTCCCTGGAATTACAGATATTTTAGTAAATTCTCATGGTGGATTATCAAAACCTTGTTGATTAAAGTTTATAACATCATTTTTAGATCTTTCCTAACTCTGTGTATGTATGCTTCCCTTGATACCCAATGATTTGTATTGCAGAGTCAGTCTAACTACTATATTATACAGAGTAAAATAATTTATTTCTTTTTGGATAAGCTAACAATTGTATTGAAAGTTCTATCTATAACACAACACTACAGCTTCAAGAATCAATCTACAATGATAGTATAACCTCATTAACTTGAATCCCAGTGGCTAGTATGCAGAGTTCGAAACATTTTTCCTAAACATTGTATATATCAACACTGGAGTTTATGTACTACTTTTCTACTTACTCAGGTAATCTTTGTTTCACTTTCAGAGAGCAGCCCTGGACAGCACAGTAGTAGCTTGGGGATCATGTACTGTGGTTGGAGTAAAGTTTGGTGACAAAGGATTGGAAGTTTCTCCAATAGAGCTACTATTGGGCCGCAAGATAAATGGAACATTCTTTGGTGGTTAGTTTTGGGGTTTTTTTCTTTTCTGTCTTCATAGCTCTAAATTTTCTTCATAGTAGTACAAAAATTCTTAGAATAAAGATTATTGAAAGAAAATAAAAATAAATTATTTAAATAATGAGTACTTAGAATATATGTAAAGAATACACAAAAACTATTCTATTTATTAACTGAAAGTAAGTGGAGTTTATATGAAAACTACAATTGGCAAATTGAAATTTAATTCATGTTACATTGAAATGAACACAGATGAATAAAAGGTAAACTTTGATTTCATTGAGGAAGTTCCTTATCTAGAATAGAAAATAGTCTTGAATTTTGCTTATGAAGAAAATTTTTGTAAAAGAACAGAAAGTTAAAGATGGAGGGGAAGAGTTTAATCATTTGAAGCAACATGGATCTGACCTAATAATTTCATTCATTCAGCAAACACCCTGATGAAAACACTTTCTTCATGTCAAGTATATGTATTTATTAATTTGCATTTTGGCCAAATTATAGGTTGGAAAAGTGTAGATTCTGTCCCAAAGCTGGTTAATGACTACAAGAATAAGAAATTTGATCTGGATGCATTGGTGACTCATACCCTGCCTTTTGACAAAATCAATGAGGCATTTGACCTGATGCACCAAGGAAAAAGGTAAATTACCAAATAAATGATTGAGTGTTTAGAAAAACTTTATGATGATTCTATTTTTTTAAATAATTGGTTTGTCTTTTCTGATTTTCTATGTCATAAATACTAGATTTGCTAGTACTTTTAGCAAATATATTAAATAATGGTCATTAAAAAAAGATAAAGGCTTCTATTTCCATTATATACACTGATACCACATAGAGTACTGTTATAAATTGACATATTTTTTTCTCTTTCACAAATAAATGTTAACTCAGTTGGGTTGATCCCTGGAAGGAGAGGTTTCTATAGTTTAATGTTAGATCCCTATGATACAATATATTCCTAAATCTGGAAACATTATGTTTCGCAATTTTATATAAAGTGCTTCTTCCACACCCTTCATGATCTGTGAAGCCATGGAGATGGGAGAAGAGTGACAGTACAGATACATAATGAATGCTTCAATTCTCTCATTCTCTTGCTTTGTCGTGAGGCTCCTATAGGATACTGACAATTTTAGCTATATTGTGTTGCCTTTTCTTGGAGCCTAAGGATTGATTTATAACAATGTCCCAATTGATGAGTTCCTAGGGGTTGGGGTAAGACTAGTATCAATGATTTTAGTTAAAATATCCAAGCAGTCTTGATCTACAGATTCAAAGAGAAAAACACCAAGAGCAATGATATAGAGGAGATGCAGGATAAAGAAGAAATAAAGAGAGAAAACAGCAAAGGGCTGGGAGGCATAGGTCTTTGGTATCAGGACCCAGACTACTTCATGGGAAAGAAACCTGAGAAAATATTCCCACTGACATAACTCCCCAATTTACAAACAAGTTATCCACAAAATATCAAAAAGAAGTTCAATTAAAAATAAGAAAATATAAAATGTTGGGGTTTGTGTTTAGGGAGTTTTTTGGGGTTTTGTTTTGTTTTGTTTTGTTGTTTTTTCAGTCTTGGGAATTGAACCCAGGGACATTCTGAGATCCTCTGAGATCCATCCCTAGTCTTTTTAATTTTGAGACAGAGTCTTACTAAGTTGATCAGATTGGTCTGGAACTTTAGATCCTCCTGCCTCTGCCTCCCAAGACACTGAATTACAGGCATGCACTACCCCATAAATATTATTTTTTAAAACATCACATAAATTTAGTATATAAGCCCTAAATAGCTTACACAATCTCAATATGTCCATAGGAATATTCCTCAGGTTAGGAGTTGGGTCGGAGTTTAGAGCCTTAGAATCTGGTGGTCAGCTCCTCTGCCACAACCCCTTGACCCTGGAGTTCTTGGTCACCGATATATCCACAAACTAAATGAAAATGCTGCATTGCTTTATTAGATGGGCAAGCCTCCCATAGTCTAGTCATTAGTGGCAGAGTAGAAGCCTAGGGATACATGTGTGAGTGGGCCTTTCTACTCCCTCACTGGCTCCCTGAGGAAACCACCTGACCACCCACACAGATGAAAAGATAGCAACAGGAAAAGCAGAAGATGGGCCTTGCCATACACACTTACCATATGGGAACAGGAAGCACCCAAGAGGACAGATTTTCCCAACAAACCAACTGTACAAAACCAAGGGAAAGGATAGAAGGGCATGGGGCACAATAACTGACTAGCTTGCTAAGATGCAGTGAAGCTGCCTCAGAGTGAGGAAAGGACACAGAGGTTCTCCCTCCACAGGTAGATGTAGCCTCCAGTTCCTGGGTGAAGAAAATATTTAGGTATGGTACCCTAATGATTGCCAGGGCTACACAGCTCCAGAGTAATGTCTGAGAGAAAGAATTTTCTGTCCTTGAGGTTTATCTCCCTACTTTGTTTCCAAATGTTGGAATTATTAAGGATTGAAAACATTCAGATTCTCAGAAAGTAGCCTCTCAATACACCAAGTTCCCCCTTCTTTGATGCCCAACTTGCCCTTGGCAATAGGAGAACCAAGAGCAGTGACTATTCCAAGCCTCCCCACTTTCTAATACCATCTATAAAACATTATTAATGCAATGAATAGGAGAAATGACAAAATAGAAGAAATAAGACTTTACAACGTGAATGTTTATAAAAATTAGACCAAATCCTGAAATGAAAAGACAAAAATTATTTGTGGGCTTTGGCTAAATGTTTCATGTAAATTGTACTTATTATTGTTTTATTGTTATTAACAGCATCCGAACAGTCCTGACCTTTTGAAGATGCCAGGAACAATTTGGAATACTATTCAATTGAATCTGAAACTGTCTGATTAATATATTACCTGATAGGATGAACCAAAGAAAACTATGAGCTGTTAATGTCTCAACATAAAATAGCTATAAATGGTATGGCATCTACACCCATAAAATGTATTCAAATTTCCTATGTTAAATAATATGATTACTGAAGTATTCATGAATAGAACCATGTGATGTTTAGAAATTGTTTAAAATTAGTTTTGGGGAGGTGAGAATGGGCAATGAAAGAAAAATCATACATTTGTAATTTTTGAAGTTGGTAGACAAACTGCAAGGAATTCCACTAATTTTGTCTATGTTAAGAATTTTCTACAATCCACCAATTTTTACTGGAAAAAAATCACTATATATTATATACAAATATAAAAAATACTATCAAATAGTTTTTGTGTTTGAATAAACTATAAACTACTCTTTTAAATAAGCTGCTAAATAGTTTTTCTTTTCAATATCTGTTAATTTCTTTTCTCTTAGCCCTACTTTATCATTATGTACTATAGTCACACTATAGGATATAAGAATCTACATAATGAAGATTTTTTTAGGGGGGTGCTGGGAATTGAACTCAGGGGTACTCAATCACTAATCCACATCCCCAGCCCAATTTTGTATTTTATTTAGAGACCGGGTCTCACTGAGTTGCTTAGCACCTCACTTTTGCTGAGGCTGGCTTTGAACTCACAATCTTCCCATCTTGACCTCTCTAGCTGGGGGGATTAAAGGCATGTGCCAGCACACCCTGCATATAAAGATTTTTAAAAAGGAAAAAATACATCTACCATCTCAAAGTTCTACCTGAAATAACTGCCATTTAATCTTTAATAATTATCAAGACACATAATGTTTAATGCTTTACAGTTCAATGATCTGTAATTTGCACTAACTAATGTTATTTTCTATAGTCAGCTAAAGGTAATATGAGCAGTTACTTATATTGCTTACTAATAAAATAATATAAGAAGTAAAAATATTCATAAATTTAACAGTAAGATTTATATAAAAAGTAGCAAAATGGGAGTTTTCAAGCTATCATACTTATAGATCCTACAATGGACAGTTACAAAGGATAAGATACATAATATCAAATAAGAAAGACAAGATCCTAATCTGGAATAATTTTTGAAATCTCATTTTCTTTAAAAATTATCTACCACTTGGTCAATGAAATGAGGGAAAAACAACTCTGAAATTTTGGCTGAAGAGGGTAGCAAGATCTCAAAGCAGAAATATATTCCTGCTTATTTTTCTATGTATTAAGAACTGTGTAAGGTTTTGAACGACCAAAAATAAAAAAAATAAATAAATAAAAATTTTAAAAAAAAAAGAAATAGATGCTGGTTGATTTATCTGTAAATGATTCCATGGTTGGCAATGTGGGGACTAGGACACACTGCTTGGGTGGTTGCTTTTCTGGTGCAATTCCCTTTATCAGTTATCATCTCTCTCCTCCTCCTCTTTTTTGCTTCCTTGAATCCTTCATAGGTTCAGTTTGAGACCCAGCTCCTACTCAGATCCTTGCTGCCTCAAAGCTGTTTTTGTTCCCTGATCTCCTTGGGTATTTAGTGTCTTTACTGAAATCTTAACACTCACTGCTTCTGGTTTGTTTTTGTTTTTGTTTCAAACATGCTTTTAATACTCCCTGAAGGCAGAACAAACCTTGAATCCATCCTCTGTCCTTTGCTAAATAAATTTGTGATGCTTGATAACAAAAGCTTAACCTCAGGAGTATCCAAATAGTTTATATTTACTCCTTTTTTGTTTAGGCGGGTATTGTAGGAGATTGAACCTAGGGCCTTGCACATGCTAGGTAATCTCTCTACTACTGAGCTACAATCCCAGCCCACGTGTACTCTTTTAAGTGAAATTTTCCTAAAACATTTTTCAGATTCATCTTTTTTTCCAAATAAAGAATCCCAAATCTAATCCTAAAAACTCATATTTATTATGATCATTAATTTTTATGCTGAATTGTGAACCAGTGACCTCTCCCTAATACTCCTGTAGTAAGTGTTCATCAATCTTCTAATTTCCATATCTACTTCTGTGATTTGAAAAACATCTTATTTTTCAATAATAAAATCAGTTAGAAGTTGGATACAGTGACCCTGTTTATAATCCCAGCAATTCAGGAAGCTGAGGCAGGAGGATTACAAGTTCAAGGCCAGCCTCAGCAATTTAGTGAGATCCTGTTTCAAAATAAAATATAAAAAATATATAACTCAGTGGTAAAGCACCTCTGAGTTAAAAAAAAAAATGCTGTTAAAATTGTTTGTATAGTCAGTGAAACCCTAGAGTAAGGTGCAACCTACTCTAGGGTTTCACTCTGAAACCCTAGAGTTTAAGGCTCAACCTCAGTCATTCTTCAGTACATGCACCCAGATGAAACTCCTAATTGATGTAAGGAGTGTACAATTCTCCAAAATGGATACCTAATGCCCAAGTTACCCAAATATATCTCTCCCAAAAATATGAATTAATGTTGAATCTTTATATGACACATAGAGGAAAAAAATCAGATACCAATAACACAATTGGCAATATGTAGAAAACTTAAGAATCATACTTCAAAGGCATCAAAAAATATGCAAACTACTAACAATTGACCCCTTTCCTGATTGCTTTCATATTCATTCTTCACTTAAACAAGGTTGCTTTTTTTGAAAGACTAGTGGCAATAGAATTTACAACATTTCTAGAGTGTTAAGCCACTGAAACAAAGAACAGAACTTCACCCCTTCAAAGAAAAAATAAATTAAAAGGGCAATCTACTCTCTCTTGTTCTAAAAACTTTCTCCACGGATGGGGGTGTAGCACTTGCCTGGCACACATGAGGTCCTGGCTTCAGTCCCAAGCACTGAAAAAAAAAAAAAAAAAAACACTCCCTAAAGAATTTCTCCAGAATTACCTCTACCCTCTTCCGAAAAGCTCTGGTCCAAACATGAAAATCTGTTTAAGGCACACATGTCATGGAACTTCAGGTTATTAAAGATTGTTAAATTCTCAGGAAAAAAAAAACATATTCTCCAATATAATAAGATACATGGGTCTTTAAAAAAGAAAAAAAATATTTTTGTGGGTATGAAATTTTTAAAATCTCTAAGAATGCCAGTTAACAGGGAGCTCAATATTTGAATTTAGGAGGTAGTGTGATCACAGCACTGTTTATACTTCCAAGAAGAAATAAAATTTTAAGATGTATGCACTATTTCTTCAAACACCTTAGACTCTCGTAGTTCTCAAAATGCTACTAGGGTGCCCTCTGGTGTTGTTTTATGTTTTTCCACTTCTCCATATCTATCTATCTATCTATCTCTCTCTCTCTCTCTCTCTCTCTCTCTCTCTGTCTCTCTCTCTCTCTCTCTCTTTCAATATTTTTTCCCCTTTGTTTTGGTACAAGGATTTAACCCAGATACCCCACTCCTGTTTTGTTTTTGTTTTTGTTTAATTTTGAGAAAGGGTTTCACTAAGGTACTTAGGGCTCACTAAGTTGCTGAAGCTAGTCTTGAACTTGGGATCTTCCTGCCTCAGCCTCCTGAGTCTCTGAGATTACAGGTGTGCACCACCATGTCCAGCTTCCTAGATGCTGTTTTCTTCAGGACAAATAATTAGGAACAGAAAACAAGAATTTTCATTTATACCATAGTGGGGTTTGTTGTTTTTTGTTTGGTTTAGTTTGGGGTTTTGTTTTGTTTTTTTTTTCTTTTTTTGGTATTCGGAATTGAACTCAGGGGTGCTCTACCACTGAACTACATCCCCAGCCTTTTTTATTTTAAAATAGAGATCTCACCAAGTTGCCCAGGCTGACCTTGAATTTGCAATCTTTTTGCCTCAGCCTCCAAATAGCTTGGATTACAGTTGTAGACCACTGTACCCAGCCATAGTTGACATTTTAAAGCTTTTTTTTTTTTAAGAGAGAATTTTAATATTTATTTTTTTAGTTTTCAGCGGACACAATATCTTTGTATGTGGTGCTGAGGATCCAACCCGGGCCACACGCATGCCAGGAGAGTGCGCTACCACTTGAGCCACATCCCAGCCCTTAAAGCTTTCATGTGCATTATTTCATCTGATTTCTTCAACACTTCCCAGTATATTGTGGGGACAAATAAATGGAGTGCTGCATACATGGCATACATTAAGGGCGTCTGAGTGCTAGACAGGTGAGCAGCACACCTCTTACCCTGTAGGCCCAGCCCTGGGTGTGAGGCCACATGTTGCAGTCCCAGC